GGGGTCTAGTTCTTGATCCACTTAGGAGCTCTTTAACCCCAAGGATGACTCGGGCACTAATTTGTACCCAAGATTGGTTAAGGTCAAGAGAAAAACAAGCTTCTGATTTGGAGAATGAGAATACTTTGAGGAACATGGAGAAAGGTATAACTGAATCGTTACAATTTCCCTATTTTTCATTCTCTGTACTATAGTTTAGCACTTAAGTTAATTAAATTGATTGTAACTTTTTCTTTTTCTTTTTAATTGGATAGAGATGGAGAAGTTGTAGTTGGATGCACCATGCATCCAATTTTAAGTAGGGGAAATTACACTTAACCTACTTGTGATTTAGGGTGAGTGCATTTAAAGGCCTGTGATATCAAAAAGTGCACTTAAACACCTATATTTTGAAATGAGTAACAAAACACTCTTGCTGTTAAAAACCTAAATGAAAACTTCACTTTTTATCTTAATTCCTCTTATGCCCTTCTTGCCTAAAACCACTGTCTTGTCCAATGCTAAAAGTTGCACCAAACCAGAGATCCTTTTTCAGTCTGCGTCTTCACTTTGGATAAACCTGCAAAGCCCCGAGGTGGGTCCTTAAGGTAGACACTTTGATGCTTAAGTCAGCAATAATCGGATCTACCTTTAGTGTAATGACAAAGGAGCTTTAGGTTGGTTTTCAATTACCTTTTTGAGGTAGTCCCTGGGGGGTATTTATAGGCCTTCGTGAGATGTCCATGTGGCTTGCTTAATATGATAATCGGAGTGTGATGTATCCCTTCAGGTGGTAATTTTGGGACCGAGAAATTGTGTGTGACAAATCAGGTGTGGGCACTTCTACTGTATTTATCGTGCAGCCATTTGACCGAAAAGTGCTGGATTTAACTTCACTTTGGTTATTAAAGAATTATAGCAGTACGTCCGAGGTTCAGGACTTTGGACGTATCCTTACAACTATCCTTCATAATAGTTGGCTTATGTGATAAAATTTATACTTTAAAGCATACTTCACGTTCCTGCAGGTTGTAAGTGGTGATCTTGTTTCTGATGTGCCTC